CCCCCCCCCCCCCCCCAAGTCACCTACAAAACCTCTGAGCTTGTTATTCTGACAAATTCTAAACTTATACAAAGCAGCAACTATCTAAGAACATGAGGGATCATTTGGGCTTTTTGACATTCACTTGCTGCAACTGACCCTGACCTACATATGCAGAAAATTACAGATGTAGGAATGTGAATTTTGACATCTTTAACATTAATTTGTTAAGTAAATACTTCTCTTGCTGAGCACACAAGATGAAGTTCAGCTTAATTCGGGGCCTGTCTTTATTAAAGCTGAGAATTACTATTTGGCCTAGGAAGCAATTTTCTCAGCAAATGGCAGCTGGCAACAGTATATCCATGGGCTTGATGCCTTGCTGGTAAGCTGCAATATGTCTCTCTACCATGAATTCCAAGTGCCTGAGGTGCTAACAGAGGGAGTTAGCCACTTTGGAACTGTCTGCTCCTTTCCTGAAGCTGGCATCCCTTCAAATCACACTGTTATGTTTAGCTCTTTAGGTTATTCTGTTACAAGTTACATCAAAGTAAATTTCTCTTCCCATATGAATCAAAGAGACCTCTTTACATTAATCCAGTTGTAATTAAATTATTTGCCAGGTAGCATGGAGAGTGGCATCCGGCTGGTAAGTCTGTTGTGGGGGAAGGTGCAAACAGGGAGGGAAGGGGCATGGGGCAGATCGAGGTCCCCGTGGTGAAAGGGAGCAGGGCAGGGGCAGGTGTTGCAGTCAGGGAAAGGCACAGAGCTGCAAGTGGTTTGTCTGAGGGTCACAGGGGGGAGAGGTGGACTGTGTGTACCCTAGGAGGGTGTGTGTGCCCCCAGATATGCGTGTGGGGCAGGGCTGGGGTGGCGCCAAGCTATTCCTGGTAGGGGCTGGGCTGGGGCTGCACTCGGGACAGGGTGATGGTGCTGGGAAGTGGCTATGGGGGGAAGGCTGCAGCCGCCACCCCAAAATTTGGCATGTCCCCTGCTCCCATGGCTGCTGCCACCCGCCCCAAATGCAGCCCAGCCCCAGCCCACAGCAGCAGCTGCCTCACCCCATGCACAGATCTGGGGGCACACACTTCCAATGTCCTCCCAGAGTGCATGCAGAGGTAGAAGCCGCCGCCCCTACCATGTGCCCCTCGGATGAGCCACTCGCAGCTGTCCCCTGCTCCACCCCAACTGTGTAGCACCTGCCCATGCCCCAGTCCTGCCCTCACCACAGGGCCTCGATCTGCCCCCCCACACCCCTTTCCTCCCCCTTGCCCCTTCCCTCCCAACAGACTTACCAGCTGGACCCGGCTGTTCTCCATACTGCTGGGCTGTGCTCCTGGCTGCCTGAGTGTTGCACTGCGGCATTTATTGGTGACATTAATTGGCCACATCACTCAAAAAAAGCTGATTGCCAAGGCTGTCAATTTTCCTTATTTTGGTGCTGATCAATATGTGACCAATATATCTGTGTATAGAGGTGCACTGATGTATCCGTGCACCTCAACCCATAATCATTCTAAAAACTGCTTTATTTCACAAATATTATCTCATTAAAGAATATATCTAAACTGAATAATCAAATCCTTCAAGGGACTGATATAGTGATGTTACAAACATTTACATGAGTAGTTTTACTTAATAATAGTCCCCCTGAATTGAAAGATGCTGATGCACAATTTTTCAGAGTTGTGAGTACACAATATTAAGATCCCATTCTTACTCTGGGATTTGCTAGTGTGGACCTCTGCATTCAATTAATGGGTCTCCACAGATGCTCCAAAGAAAAGTATTGCAGATGTATTTCCTTAGATTCCTGATTTGGGCCCTGATCCTGTACATGTGGACTGGTTATTTCATGAACAACCCTACTTAATTCAGTGTTTACATGCGTAAGCTTAAGCTTGCATGTGCTTAGGTGTTTGGGCTCTTTATTAGATTTCTCTGTTTGTCCCAATGTATTGATATTTCTTACATTATCAGGGGCAACTCTTACCCCCCCACCATATTCCCCCTGTCTATTCTACAGTAAAAAAAATATTGAAATAGAACACATCACATATTTGCCTTCAAATTGTAATTTCTGAGTTCTGAGTTCTGTACTGTGTCAACAAGGATGGCCATGAAGGCCTTACCATAATTGATGTTTACTGGCAGGAATGTAGGCTCCTGAATTCCTAATAGAGCCTCATCAAAGTCAAGGGGACTGTGGAACAAGCAGAGGTGTCTCACATGCAACCCAGGGCAGCCCTAGGCAGCAACTCCTGGTATGCCCATGCATGCAACAAAGTTGATTTTTTTTAATCCTTCCACTAAGATCCTCATCCCGCAGGCCTAAAACTTTCCCTACAGAAGATAATGAATAAGATGATCCATCTTGGGTACTAAACACAAATTTGTTCTTTGCATGCAATATTTTGTGCAATATTCTGTGCCCTTTGTAACAAAAACCTGCAGTATCAGTATTTCTTGGTATGCAATCTGCTGATATAGTCTAAGTAAACACTGTCACTTACAACTCAGTACACTCTACCACTCCTTTAAAATGGTCAAATTGTAAATTAAACTGTTAACTTAATTTATAATTAGCAAAAATAAAATTGAGCAGAATCAGTAAATGTAGCAAAATCAAATGAAGTAGAGCTGAGAAGAGAGCTAATCAGAAAATCACAAACTGAATACAAATAATAGGTGGGGTTTGTTTATTTATTTTTAAGTACTCCTAATAGCAATTGTGCATGGGACCCTAGCTACAATTAAAGGGAAACTAATGCAATCACCAGGAATTTCTATTGCAAAATACTTAACCCAATATGTCCTCCCCAAAACACTATATTACTTGTTCTCAATCTTTTTAGTGTCAAGGAACCCCTCGGAAAATGCCAGCTCTTAATTTTCACTTGATTTTTCACTACAGAAAAATAATAGAGCAAATTTTAGGTTGCAAAGAACTTGGAAAGACCACAACAGTGCAGAACATTTTTAACTATGGATTCCTATTTGAAATCTCTGGGTTTAGCTTGTGAACCATGTTGTGCACCTAGAAGAACTAATTACATTGTGTGACACCCCCTGGCACCCTTAAAAGTATCTCAAGGCACCACAGGGTGCTGTGGCACACTGGTTAAGAATCACTGCATTATATACAAGTGTTGTATAGGCTCCTAGTAAACATATAAATCTCACAGCCACGCGACGGATTTCCAACACATTTTAGTGTGTGACTCTATACTCCAAAACTTTTGAAGTAGAATGAGGCTCTCTTCATTCACTTCCTAATTTCAGAAAGTGATAAGCATTTGCTCACATTTTTACATTTACGGGTTTTTGATTAGCAAGATATTTTAATTGCTAATTATTTCTTTCATACTTCAATTATTCTGTAAATTTCTTACTTATGAAGAACATAAGTTAACTAGCTCTAGTGTCAGAAATTGCAGAAAGGGAAACATACTTTACAAATTATACAAATTACTGATAATATTAAGTATTTGAAAAAACTAAGTCAGACATTTTCTCCAACGTCTGACTCTCAAGATCCTACATGTGCTGCAAACACTATGGCAATGCACTACATCAGGAGTTGGCAACCTACAGCCTGCAGATGGAATTTGCCCCATGAAGTTCTGGTTCGGTTCACATTTTATTAAGTGCACCAGTCCAGTTTTTACTAAGGGCAGGTCTACACCCTTTGCTTATATAGTCACTGCCAAATTAGCCACTCCAAAGTAGTGCTTGACACCCTTTTTCAGCACTGTTTTTTGGCTGAGGCTACGTTAAAGGGGTAAAACAGCAACCCATGGGGTGGCAACCCACAGCGGCTGCAGGGCTGGAAGCAGTGGCCTGCTGTTAGTAAAAGGTTGCTGACCCCTGCATGAGAGATCAGTTCATCTAATTAATTAGCTTTAAAAAGCCCCAAGTAATCCTAAAGTACAATTACCTGTCCTGTTAGGAGAAACTACTTCTTGTCAATGTATGCAAGGACGATGAACACATTTCTCAGTGGCTTCCTAATTATGTATCTTCCACTAAAATAAAGAAGCAAGATAGAATGAAAAACAAATCACATAAGCAAACTTACCATTTTAGCATTTCAAAAGATACAGGCTAGCCACCTGCAGTGACTACAGGAGAAACTCTTCTACCATGGACAAAAATGGAAAAATCAGCTACATGGTTCATATGCATTTTCATCTCCCTGTCAAGCTTCATGTATTTGTTGCTGCCTCAAGCAGACAGATGATTCAGAAGTCCATGCTCACATTGAATATATATATATATATATATATATATATATTCAATGTTGCTATTTTAAGCAAATTCAAATACGTTGAGTTGATGCCAAAAGTAGCAAACTTCATAACTAATGAGATATTTGCCATAAAGACTTAGGTAATCAAAACTGAATGAAGAGACATAAAAAGGCATTGATTTACAAAGTTTCCCAGCTAAGACACAGTGTTTTGTACAAGTGTGCTGTTTAAGGAAATGGGTTATAAACTCAGTCTTAAACTGTTGTTTCTTCATGGTAATAAACCTATCTGATTAGAATTTCTGCCAGTGAATGACACCTAGACATGATCAGAGACCTGGAGAATATTAAAACTCCTTTTTGTGGCACATCTACAGTATATAAAATATTTTACCTACTCAGCTTAACCTATTTCCTTGCAAACGGCTGACCAAACAATAAGAAGTTTAAACCTGGAGTTCAGTGGTTTAGGACCCAACCAACCACTGAACCCTGATCTCCCACAGCTCTCTGAAAAACCCCAACCTCAGTGTTTATAGCTGCTTGCTTTAACCAAGACGCATATTCAGAACCGGGCATCTAATTCTACCATCCTGTAAAGGAGGGGCAGATCACATGGTTATTTACCTGCACGCTTCAAATGACCCTTATTTCCCGAAACAAAAGTATCTTTACTTGTTCGGGGTTCACCACTACCTCCCTACTCGAAGCCCTGGCAAGAACAACACTGAAAGGCAGGGCTGTTAATCGATTCAGGCCTTCAGCCCTTTGCAAGCACAGACAATCTTTTGGTGCCGTGCTGGTACAGGGTCTGGCAAAACGAGGCCCTAAGATCGTGCTCATAATAAGACAAAGGCAGGTCGGTTCCTTTTTCCAAAAATGACACGAACGTCCTCTCGTCCTGGAAAGGCCCCAAGCGCCTTCCAGGAGGGGCAAGGCCTCATCCCCCCACCCCCCGCGCAGGACACG